AAGTGTATTTAAACCAGTGAGTATACCGATCAGCCCTTTGATAGTTGGGAACAACTGATCTACTTATTAAATTAAGACCTCAGGTGAGGATTGTGTAACCGACGAGAATAACAACCGCTCCCCGGGATTGTCTCCATTGGTAGCCATCAGAAAACCTCACTTGATTATTATGAACGATTTTAGTTTTGTTAGTTTGTTAGTTACGAAGTTAAGTAGAGGAACCGCCCTGTGTGCTGCGCAGGTGAATACAAATATTTGTATATAATTGAGGTTTTATTATCTGTATAGAACACCCGGCTTTTCTCTTATACCCGCTTGTAATGTTACACATGTTCAATGCCGATCTATTTCAACATGTATCCAATCTTCTCATAGTGGCGAAAACTGTACTGTTGGGGGCAATTAAATTTAAAAGAACTCTGTTGTCTGAGGTAGGAACAAAGGTGTTTTCATGTAGCTATTAACCAACTTTAACAAAAGATTTACAGTTAAGTGCTTTATGAGAAATTACCGATCACTGTACAGAATACATTGTTTTTACTGCCGACAAGATAACGACTTTTATTCCGTGTCAGGATATAAAAAGTATCAGGAAAAGACGCTATAACCAACATGAGCTACCAGCGATCGACCCAGTCCAGTTCCGCTACAAAAGCAATTAATACATTATAAACGTACAATATATGAAACTTAAGTATATTTTCTATAAAGTAGAATAATTTTCAAATGCTATATTTCTTCTTTAAAAAATTACGAATATGATCCTCTGGGCAATCAATGGGTCACTTTCTATTTCCCTTTTCTTTTTTCGTTTCATACACGAAATAAGCACTAAAATACTATGTATTCATAATTTGATGGTATTTCTTTTATTTTATTTTATGATAACTTATTTTCCCATTTAATGGGTCTTTTATTAATTAATACCTGGCCGAAGCATAACAAACCTTTGTTCAACCAAGATAAAACTGTGTCATTTACTGTACACAGAGGAAACAAAATAACTCACTTCTTCATTCTAGTGACCAGTTAATACGAAAACATGACTACCGTGATCACAGGACTTGCTGCCAACAGGAAATGGCCGGGAAAAGATCGAATTAAAGAGATTCTTAATAAAGGAGAGCTCATCTAAATATTCTAGGAATGCTAAAACATACTTGATGTTGAAAGTTGAAGTATAGACACACTATAAGTATGTCATCTTATATTGTACCTGCGTTGGAATTTGTTTTGAATAATTGTACTGTGAAATTATCTGACCTTATATTAATCATATGAATTGAAACGATAAAACTAATACCTTAATTGAGGTGCCGTGGAGCATCTGATCATAGGTTGTATGTGGAAAACAGGTAATCCCGGTACTGACATTCTAGAATCTTCTCGAAATCAGCAAACTAATATTTCCACCTAAGATACTGGATAAATATAATTCTCCAGAGTTATATGAATTCACTGAAACCTTAAATGATAAATCTGATGTTTTTTACGACTACAGACCTAAAGACAGTTTCTATATTGTTGTTTTACGTTCATCTTTCCAGATACAACTGTGGAATCTGCTGGTGGATTTTTGTAATGGACAACTCGATCCCTTTTGAGTGGTAGTACGGTTCATGTTATGAAATATGTATACTTAACACATTATTACTTTGTGTTAAACAGTATTCTTAGAGCTTTTGAAAATAGTACTAAGCATAACGAAAGGATTTTTCTCACCTCCTCTTCGGGTTCAACAGTAGTTGAATCCAGTTTGAATGTCCCCACGTTTGGCCCCTAGCGTCACCGGTGAGACAGAAAGACACCCGTACAGTACAGTGCAATTAATGTTTACTGTATCTTCTACCAAATCGTTTTGGGTGCAATTACATCTGTGTAACTAAAGCTCATCATGTGAAATGGTTATAAAAAGATATCAAACCTGTTCAAATAGCATGATCGGTTTAACATAAAAGCCACAATCAGATACAACAATGTTAAAACCAAGTAGTTCTACAACATCAACCAACCATGCTCATTGGAGCAAATTACACTAGATTTAGTTTTCTTTGTTCACTAGACTTAATTTATGGTACTAGATATACTGGACTAGATTCAGTGTACTAGATATACTGGACTAGATTCGGTGTACTAGGTTTACCGGACTAGATTCAGTGTACTAGGTATACTAGACTAGATTCGGTGTACTAGATATACTGGACTAGATTTCAGTGTACTAGATATACTGGACCAGATTCGGTGTACTAGGTATACTAGACTAGATTCGGTGTACTAGATATACTGGACCAGATTCGGTGTACTAGATATACTGGACCAGATTCGGTGTACCAGATATACTGGACCAGATTCGGTGTACTAGATATACAGGACCAGATTCGGTGTACTAGATATACTGGACTAGATTCGGTGTAATAGGTTTACTGGACCAGATTCGGTGTACTAGATATACTGGACCAGATTCGGTGTCCTAGATATACTGGACTAGATTCGGTGTAATAGGTTTACTCGAATAGATTCAGTATACAAGGGTTATTTGACTATTATCAGTGTCATACGTTTACTGGACTTTTATCAGTGTTCTAGGTTTATTTTACTATTATCAGTGTACCAAGTTTACTGGGCTAGATTCAGTGTCCTAGGTTTACTTGACTAGATTCAGTGTACTAGGTTTACTGGGCTAGATTTAGTGTACAAGGTGTACTGGACTAGATGCACTAAATTAGGTTTACTGTACTATATTTAGTGTAGTAGGTGTACTAGAATAGATTCAGTGTACTAGGTTTACATACTAGATTCAGTGTAATGGGTTTATTTTACTAGATGCAGTGTCTTCGTTTTACTGGACTAGATTCATTGTACTAGATTTTCTAGACTAGATTAAGTGTACAGGGATCACCGGACTAGATTAAGTGTACTGGGATCACCGGACTAGATTCTGTGTACTAGGTTTACTGGACTACATTCAATGTACTAGGTTTACTGGACTACATTCAGTGTACTAGGTTTACTGGAATACATTCAGCGTACTAGGTTTACTGGACTACATTCAGTGTACTAGGTTTATAAACCTAGTACACTGAATGTAGTCCCGTAAACCTAGTAAACTGAAGGTAGTACAGTAAACATAGTCAACTAAATGAAGTCCAGTAAACCTAGTACGCTGAATGTAGTCCAGTAAGCCTAGTACACTGAATGTATTCCAGTAAACCTAGGTTTACTGAACTAGATTCAGTGTACTAGGTTTACGGGACTAGATTCTGTGTCCTAGGTTTACTGGACTAGATTCAGTGTACTAGGTTTACTGGACTACATTCAGTGTACAAGGTTTACTGGACTACATTCAGTGTACTAGGTTTACTGGACTACATTCAGTGTACTAGGTTTACTAGACTACATTCAGTGTACTAGGTTTACTGGACTACATTCAGTGTATTAGGTTTACTAGACTACATTCAGTGTACTACGTTTACCGGACTACATTCAGTGTATTAGGTTTACTGGACTACATTCAGTGTACTAGGTTTACTGGACTACATTCAGTGTACTAGGTTTACGGGACTACATTCAGTGTATTAGGTTTACGGGACTACATTCAGTGTACTAGGTTTACTGGGCTACATTCAGTGTACTAGGTTTTCTAGACTAGATTCAGTGTACTAGGTTTACGGGACTACATTCAGTGTACTAGATTTACGGGACTACATTCAGTGTACTAGGTTTACTGGGCTAGATTCAGTGTACTAGGTTTACTGGACTACATTCAGTGTACTAGGTTTACGGGACTACATTCAGTGTACTAGGTTTACTGGGCTAGATTCAGTGTACTAGGTTTACTAGACTAGATTCAGTGTACTAGGTTTACTGGACTAGATTCAGTGTACTAGGTTTACTGGACTACATTCAGTGTACTAGGTTTACTGACAAACTCATACAACAAATCATTCAACCTAGTATACCGGTGAGTACATGTACTTGCATCAAAAGGATATGAAAATGCACATGTACTAAAAGCTAAAATCCTTATTTAATTTCTTACTCCTACAAAAGTGCATTTCAAGGTAGTTGCTATTGATTATGATGACATAAGCACATATTAAAAAAATATTGAAACAAGATCACTTGAAGGAAAACCTGTATTCTGTAAAATTGGATTGGAGAAGGCTTTTGAGTATAACTTGGACAATACCAATTTTTTTTATCATGTTTTAACTTGAAATGAAAACCAAAATTGATGTGCAATAAATAAGCTACCAACTGGACCATCTTACAATTACATTGTGAACACATACTGAACACTATACGTGAGAGAAAAAAATGAAAACAGAAACATAAAGAAAATAACTTACAGTAGCAATGATATATTAAACGATCGTTTAATATTTGTAAATAAAGATAAAGTTTTTAAAATTGTATTCAACTCTAAACATTCGGCAATGTAAGAAAGAAAAAGAGACAAATAACGAAAGAGAACGAAGAAAGAAACACTTGTAAGGTAACTGACCTAGGAACGTTTCGATAATAGATATAATGAATTGTATCTTCTTTAAAAAGGACAACCAATGCTTTTATATTTATATGTTAGGTACATCATGGAGTACAACACTGCCACCAAAGTGTACTTCTTTCCACTGTTTTCAGAAATACATTTTAGTAGAAAATTTTACAAAACTGCAATTTTTTTTATTTTTTTTATTTTATTTTTTTATGTTTTTTTTTTTTTTTTCAGGTTCAAATATTTTATTTCCTCGGCAAGTGTTTACGGAGGAAGCCAGGGTTGAGGAGCCCTGGGATCTTCCCTCTTTACAATCCTCTCATAGGAGGGTTTTCGTTCAACATTCATCTTTCTATCACTTTCTTTCATCATATTTCATAAATTTAGTAAATTTAGTTGAGATACTAAAACATTTGAACCTAACATAGAGGACGAACACTTACTTACACACTACATGTACATATAATAACATGTATACAAACATACACACACATATATATATACATTCATCTACACAAAAATTATAACATAAATAAACAAATTTGCATACAAACATACATTTGAAATTAAAGAAAAGTGTTAGTAATTAAAGCCTTGCCATACCGAAGATATTAAAAATATATCTGAAGAAATTCAAACATTCACAAAAGTGAAATTAGAATTTAAATGAAATTTTACCTCATTACAGTGTATCATTCCTTTTGTAACCATCTTCATGAGATACAAGATAACTTTTTCTCAATAATATAATGAAATAATGTGATATTTTCGTCGTCAACAAATATATATGATCAAAAATGATTACAACTAAATGTTTCACAGTTACCTAATAAAACATATTACATGTATCTGATTTTTCCTGTTTAGGAAGGTGGCGATATACTCAGTCAGTATTATTCCTTTGTTTCGCTAATTACAATGTCACATCAAAATAAATAAAAGTAAACAATAGAAAAAAATGAAATGATGTCTTTATAAATTAACACAACATACTTACAACATAGGCATTTGACAAATTGAGCAAGTCACATTCAGTTCTTGTTACACATCAGTTAATGAGTCTGAAATGGCCATATGGTGAAATATAATGTTTACATTGCTTTTTGCATCGTCAAAGTAAAGTTTTAAATATATTTATGGTAATAATTTTCCCCGAACGGTCTGAAAACGTTGTTCAATGTTTTATAAAACTGAAAAGCTAGCTGGGTGACGGATTCCGACTACAAAAACAGTATGGTTTCAACTCGCTCGCCTGTACACAGTGTGACTGGTTCCCGTACCTATTTGCACGACTTATGTGATCCCAGACCTCGATACTTCCATCACTGTGTTCAGTAAGTGAACTATCGAACTGGGCCAGACCCGGAATGGTACTTATCAACATACGGTATTGTTTGCTCGCTAAATGTGTTGATTTACTATGCCAAAGACTGTACCAAGTAAAATGTGTTGATTCATGCATGGGAATAAAATTTGATTCGACTTTTTGAGAATTTTCTACTTTGTGTAATGACAATTGTTTACATTGCGGATATTCTGTATTAAACTTTGCATTGATGTTTTTGACAATTTTCTGACCAAATATTATGAGTTTGTCTTGAGGAACGTCGACCGGAACATATTTATGGCATGGACAGTATTCCCGACGGATACCGGCGTCCTCACATGTCCGGTCAGGGGAAATTGCTCCAAACAGACTCCTGCCAACTTGTCCGGACTTAGTTCCACCTGACCCCGTAAACGTTCCTTGGAGAATGTCCACTATGGTATGATATGTATCAAAATGTGACGTCAACCTTTCTGCATTTTGACGCAAGATTTTCTCTAAATTAGGATACTTATTTTTTAAAGATGGCGGTAGAGCAATAACAAAAATAGGCATCCTTTCCTCTACCCGTCCAATGACTGTGTTCCGAATTTCGTTAAGATTGGAGCCATGGTCACTGAGAAAAATTAGTATGGTGTTGTTTAAATGTCCGTTTTTATTTGACCATTCAAAGAAATCCCTAAATTGATCGTCTGCCAACCGGAGATAGTTCAGGTCATCGTGCGCCAGTGCAGCGATCCATGTCAGAGAAAACTTCCTCTTATTTTTATACGATTTCAAAAACGATTTTAAGTAGTTAATATGAATTTCATGTTTTGCTTTATTACCATGACAAAACATAAACTGCTTTGATAGTAAAATTTTGTTGTAAAACTTTGACGAATATTGATATTTAGGAGATTGAATAAAAGTGTTTGTATTATCCATCGCCATCGCACAAGGCCTAAAGTAGTGGTCAGTAGGGGGAGTTCGGAACCCTTTAGATACCGCATTGAAGGAAGGCGACACTGGTTGCTCTTCAGCATACATCGTCACATAACCTTTGTCAGAGAAATTCCTCCAAATGAATGGCACCACATTATCTAGATATTTACCATGAAACAACGCCTCAAGGTTTTCTTTTTGACCGGAAAGCAAAGCCACCAGATTAGGAAAGGTGTTTTCAGCTACTTTTGTATAACCCTGGAAAAGATGAGCACCTAACGAACGCTCCAGGTAGTTCAATGTATTCGGCAACAATCTTTTGGCTGTAAGCTGGGACACAGAATCAATGCCGAAGATAAGAACGCTAGGACTATCCGTGGCCTCATCCTTGATTGTTTTGGACTTAAGCACGCGTTCACTGTCTGTATGGAATACAAGCTGTTGGTATACCAACGATGAGCTCTCATCCCTGCAGGATATCTTAGAGCAGTCACTTAGAGCTATTGATAATTTGTCAGGACTTGGTGATATAAATGCTATGTTCTCTTCGTTTAATCTCTGTATAATCTCACGTTCACACGTCAGGTGCTGCCATCCGGCCTCCTTTATAGCAGATATGTTAGTCTGTATCCGACTCTTGGAGTCGAGAGACACAACATCTGGAAATCGGTTACAGGGCATTTTAACATCGTAAAAATATTTCATAATACTGCTGTCGAACGGGTCATGTTTAGGCAAGACACAAACAGAAGCCGCGTCCTGGCTTGAGTTATTCAGAACGAAAATATCGTGCGGAACGTCTTTAAAAAAATCTCTTCCTTTGATTGTTATCACAAGTATCAAAAAAGTAAAAAATGCCATACGAAGGACTTTGGGTACTTTCTTTGAATACATCTTTATATTTAGTCGTATTAGACACCGAATATCGCTTCTTATATCGCAATAAACATATATCTGTTTACGTTCTATTTTCTGCAAGGGGAGTCCATAGCCAAATTGAATACCACTTGAATGTTCCAGCGCATTATAATCATGGTTGTTAATGAACGTATAATTATCCCTTTTTAGAGTTCATATCCTCCCCCTTGGATTGCCATAGGTGCAATCCTGAAAATAAGTGTTCGTAAAAGTTATATGGTTTAAAGTAAAATGACAATTATTCTCGTCGTAATGTCATCCATTTCCCGTTCGTTAGGCGTGCCCCTCCAACTTTTTTTTTGTCCGGCTTACTCCTCGATTGTTTTCCGTTAGCTGAACGTGCCTCCTCCTCCAACACGCACTGCATCCACTTTAATTTGCCCTGACGTACCGCTGGTACTTCTCGTCATTCAGATCATGATTTTTAAAGTATGTTATCTGTGAATTAAAAACAAAAAAATAAATACCACCAATGAATTGTTTTATATTGACAATTACTACCTTAATAAAACATTTTGAAATGTAATTTAAAATAGATGAAAAAACGATTATTGACAAATCCCTTTTAATCTGGTTTGTTCAAACCATCCTCGATGCATCAGGAGTTACACTCACGTTCGCTCTCTGCACCGCTGGAATACGACATAGAAAAGTTAGAGGCACGTGTCTAGCTATTTGCTTGGTCTCAGGTAAAAACAACACCTGAGCAATCGCTAGACTGATACCTGTCCTTTGAAAATTAAAGAGCGGCACCCAACTTCAAAGCTAGTCAATTTTACCGTTAAGCGACCGAGAGATTATTTTGATGTACATCAAATAATCACACTAGTCTTCTCGTCTCATCCACTAGGTGATGCACACTGAGCCGTTGATTTTGCTATGACATATTCCGGAGGTGCAGAGAGCGAACGTAAGAGTAGCCCCTAGAGTATCAATTTCAATTTCAAAGTATTTTATTGACAATACATATATAATACAAACATATAAGTTAACATTAAAGGAGATATTTGAACAGTATTGACAAAAGAATAAGACAACAGGCTTTGCCTATATCAGTCTTCTTCTAATTCCGGTAGATATGTACAATGCTTAAATATATAAAATGTTGTGATTCGTTTCCTCTCACACTCATGCACACCCACACCCACACCAGCTTATGTCTAATACTCGTTATTTAAGGGATAAAACTTGCCTGAATAACAATAATTATAACAATACATGAATATTCATTTGGAAATTTATCTAGCACGTATAAGTAACGAAACGTTTTGATGATTTAATATAAGAGTCAACATGTATAAGAATAGTTTTATTTAATTGGTTGGATGCATTACTAATACCATATACTAAACAGTGCAGATTTAAATATCCTACTAGATTATAAATAGTGGTAATATGATGCCTAATATTAGAATACAGAGGACATTGAAAGAAAAAATGTATTAGATCTTCCCTCTGTACACCACATACACAGGAAGCATCATCAATCAGATGGTCTTGTAACTTATCACAGTTAAGATCACTTTTAAAATTTCTTAGCTGACATAAAATTATGTTAAGTTTCCTCGGAACACAGTTAATAAAAGTTTCTGAGACGGATGTATCAAAGGTTTTTTTAAGTTTCTTTTTAAAAGATGAAATTGAGATGGAGTCTCGTACAGTGCTATCAAGTGCATTCCATTTTACCATTGTAGAAGGGAAGAAGCTATTCATATAAGTAGTAGTTCTTGTCTGTGGTATATTAAAGAATCTGTTATTTCTGAAGGTATAGTTATTATTTACATTTAGAAATGGTTGAATGATATTATCGAGATAAGTTGGAGTGTAATTATTAAGAATCTTATACATTAATGTTAGTTTATGATTTTGTCTTCGTGTGTGTAATGTTTCAAGTTGTGTTTCAGTATACAGAATATGATGAGATGTACCTCGTCTGAGGCCAGTAATTAAACGCATAGCTTCTAGTTGAACTGATTCTAAAAGATCTGATTCCGATTTGGTACAATTATCCCATACTATATCAGAATATTCTAGCACAGGTCTTATATAAGAGACATATAATGTTTTTAATGTATTCCTATCAACTGTAGTTTTTAAAATTCTAAGAATACTTAGTCTAGAGTTCGCTTTCTTATAAATATTTGAAATGTGATCTGACCATGTCCCTTTACTGTTAAATGTTAGTCCTAAGTGAGTATGGTGTTCATGTTGTGCAATTGGAGTATTGTTAAATAGCAGTTGAGGATGATTGTTAATGTGTCTACGAGAGAAGTTAATAGCTACAGTCTTATTCGGATTGAATAGGATCTGCCATCGCTTTGACCATTCAGAGATTGAGTCAAGATCATCATTAAGCATGTTAGTAGGTGTTGTAAGGTCATTGTTATTATTTACTATTACATAGAGAGAGGTATCATCTGCAAAGAGTTTTATATGAGAAGTTACATTATTAGTAATATCATTAATAAAAAGAAGAAAGAGGAAGGGACCAAGGACAGATCCTTGAGGAACCCCTGCAGACATAGGTTTGGTACTAGATTTATAACCTTCAAAGATAACCCTTTGTTTTCTGTCAGATAAGTAAGCTTTAAACCAATTATATAATTTACCTTTAATACCATATGTTTTTAGTTTATATAATAGGCCCAAATGCCATACTCGATCAAATGCTTTACTTATGTCACAGAAAACAAAACGCAAATCTTTACCTTGGTCTAAATTGCCACTTATAGTATTATAGATATCAGCTAGTTGATTAGTAGTGGAGTCTTTGGGTTGAAATCCTGACTGATGTACACTTAACATATTGTGACTTGAAATATAATTAAACGTATATTTAAAAATATTTTTTTCTAACATTTTGATAAAAATAGATGTAATAGCAATAGGTCTATAATTATTGAGATCACTGATATCTCCTTTACCTTTATAGAGAGCAGTAACATTAGCCGTTTTTAGTACATCAGGTATTACTCCAATAGATAAAGTTCTATTAAATAATAGTTTGAGTGGGTATACTAAAGAAGCAGAAATGTTCTTTACAATCATAGGTAAAATACCATCAGGACCAGCTGGTTTGTTTTTATTAAAAATGTCAAATTGGTCAGTTATATCTTGTTCAGTAATGTTAATGTCAGAAAGTTCAAATGGACATAAGGGAGGTAAATCAGGTAGGTTAGTGTCAGTAATATCAGAGGCAATGGTGGTAAAGAAGTTATTTAGTGCCTCAGCTTTATCTTGTGGATGGATTAATATTTTATTGTTAGATTTTAGAGGATAAGAATTAGTGCTAGTGTTATTCATTTTTCCTATAGATTTTGCTATCTGCCACCATTTTCTTGGATGCACTGTTTTGTCGGCAAGACAATTTTGAAGTTTCTTAAAGTAATTTTCTTTGGATTGCCGAATAATTTGTATAGTGTCATTGCGACAAGTTCTAAATTTTGCCCAATCTTGTTCCCTATTTTTATTTTTAGCTCTTTTATGTAATCTATTCTTATATCTTAATTTATGCCGAATTTCACCAGTCATCCAAGGTTTATCATCAGGATGGACAGTAATTGTTTTGTGAGGTATATGAGAGTTAGTAGCAGAGTTTATTTTGTTTATAATAGTAGAATATAGTTCATTAATGCTAGTAGTGTTATTAACTATGGAATCCCAATCATTACTAAGTAGTTCATTATTAATAGCATCCCAATTAGCTTCATTGAACTTATATATAGGTTTCTTGAATGGTTTATTTTTTAGTGTCTTAAAACAAATGTTAGCAAGGATGGGGCAGTGATCACTACAGAGAGGGGAAAGTACATTTGTTGAGGTAAAAATGTTTACATTATTAGTAATAAATACATCAATTAAGGTAGCAGTAGTGTTTGTAATGCGTGTTGGTGATTGTATTAAGTTTTTTAAGTGATATTTAGTAATTAATCTTGCAAGATGTGAATTAGGTTTCATTGTGATAAAGTCAATATTTATGTCACCAGTGATAATGATATTAAGATTAGTATTAGAAAGATTATCTAAAATGTTATCAAGTTTATTCCAGTAATCTACTTTTGTATTAGGAGGTCTATAAAGACAGCAGAGAAGTATTTTTTTGTTAGAAGTGTTAATTTCTAGGATGACAAGTTCTATGTCTTCAGTTTCAAGATCAGTTCTGTGATTTATTAAGAGGTTGTTTTTAGTATATATCATAATACCACCACCGTGTTGTGATTGTCTGTCTCTACGATATGAGTTGGGATGTGAGTTAATTTGCAAATCAGATTCAGTTATTTCATTATTCAGGTGAGTTTCAGTAAGACATAGGATGTCATAGTCAGTGAATTCAGTATCTATAAGATCAACCTTGTTCCGAAGAGACCTAACATTTAAGTGCATTATTGATAAATCATTATAGTAGTTTCTTTGATTAATACTGATTGATGAGCGACCTGGATTAGAGTGAATATTTCCAGACATCAGAAGTAGAAGTTTTATAACAAACAGAATGTATAAAATATCTTGAGTATACATGTAGTGATATCATATTGGTATTACAGGCAGTAATAGAGGAAGAACTATAGTATAGCTTACAATCACACACAAACATACTTACAAACTACTAACACGCCAAAAAATGAAAAAAAAAAAAAAAAAAAAAAAAAAAATAACAATAAATAAATAAGCAGAGACTTGAGGAAAGAAATAACAGTAGGGACTAATGAAAAATAATATTCTCAGAATGTGGAAAGCATCAATTTGATATTTTAAATATAATTTCATAGGGAGTGGTATACTGAACTTGAGTATTATCAAAACAATTAACAACAGTAGTTTCTTGAATTCAGTGTAACATGTTCAACTACAAGTGTAAAAAAATCAATTGAAGCAGATAAACAAATTAATTATTTTAAATACATATATACAAATATTTATATACAGACAGAACATGAAATCAATCATTTGAGACAATCATGTTATATTTTAAGATTTATTCATATACTAGTAACCTAAAGTTACATGTATAAGAAGAAAAATAATGAATAGTTACAGATTATCAGTGGTGTAAGGGAGATAACCTATTCAGAGAGGTAATCTATACATATACAAATAATGCTATTAGTGAGCAAAAGTTGGCTGAATTTCAAGAAATAAAGCAAATATTATAAGTATACGATAGGTTCTATTATCACAATTAAGACAAAAAGATTTATTTTTAAATATAAGTATCCAATGACAAATATAACATGGAGTTCGATACCTTATGAAAACCCGAGAAAAAAACCAAGATGATTTATCAAGAGCAGACACAACAATCATAACAAATAGCACATAAACATGAAAACGAATCAATAATTAAGTATATAATAAATAAAAATAAAAAATGAACACAAGCAAGACACAAAAAGTTAAGCAATTAGAGAAGCACAAGCACATTGAAATATTGGTTGCTA